TTTTTTTTTTTTTGGGTCCGCGTTCGGCCTGAACGGTCAAACGCATCCCCAAGGGGTCCCATACGTTCGGGCGTTCGGGTTCGGGCTTCGGCCCATCCCGGACGTCAGTTACCCTGTATATATATATATATATATATATAGCATACAACGCCGCCCACGTGGATGCAGGATGAGCGGCGGCTGCCCCCACCCCCGTGTGTCATATCGACGCACTTTCACACAGCCAGAAGACAAAGAGGCAAAGAAAAGAGGAAGGGAACAAGTAATTATATTGTCACGAAATTATAAGAGCGGAAATGCAAAAAAAAAATTAAAAAATATTATTTCTTTATCTTCTTCCTGACAAGACTTTCCCTTTTCAAATGATCTTGCGTACAAGGCCGCCCACGCAGATGTAGGTCGAGGGTTCGGCCACCCCCACCCCGGTCTGTGACATCGGCTCGAAGACCAGAAACGAAGGAAATCCGATATGCCGCCGAACCATACACATACGAGGGCGGCGACGCGGATAAGATGTTGGGCGACAACAACAACAATAAGTGTGCCGATGGACATGACACGAAGAACACACAAACACGAAGATGAAAAAGAAGTACAGGAAGTGGAAGGCGGGCGAAAGAAGCAGAAGAAGAAGAACAAGAGGAAGTAACGGAAAAAACAAACAAAAAACAATAAAAAACACAAGCGTCGAAGATCAGGACGAAACTGCGAGGAACACGAAGAACCAGCGATGCTGACAAGAAGCACAAACGAGGCCAAGAAAAGGAATATAAAGAAGAAGAAAAAGGCAGAAGTACGAGAAGCACAAGCGAATATGAAGAAGAAGAAGAAACGAAGAAGATGAAGTGAGAAATACGAAACAGAGAAAATCTTTCAAAGACGATAAAGCGAAGAAAGGGAAGAAGAACCAAAGGGCCTGAAATAAAGAAGCCGAATCGAAGAAGAAGAAGAAGAACTGAATTGAACAGAATAACTGAGGCCAATCATTATGCGTCCATGCACTCGTGAACATCATTGGAGCACCGACACAGACTTCGAGCTCAAACGCAGATATTCCCTGACGCGTTTCGCCTGGTTGCGCACCAGGACTCATCAAGGGGCTACCGCACTCCCGCATCCACCAAACATTCCGCCGAGAGCTAAGAGGGCCGTTCTGGCCTTGCCCTCTTGGGTTATACTGACGCTGACCTGCTCCTACGTTTAGGAGCTGCAACTGACTCTGCGGGTGTCGCGTAGGCTCGCCCGTAACTGACCTGGCACACACGTCCGCAGACAGTCACCCATCGACCTCACGTGCGCGCCTTCTTCCGTGCCAGGTAATCGATCTTCACACGTGCACCGATCGACGGCCGCGGTCTCTGAGACGGGATGTACCAGGTCAGTTCCCCGTGCTAGGTACTCGCCCGACTTGACAACCCCTCCAGCCTCCCGGTTCCGACTCTACAGACTCCGGGGACCCTGGTCTCTTCCTAACGTCTTCACATCATCCTCAATCCCTCCTGGTGATGTACGGCCTCTCCTGCCTCGCTTCTCTTCTCTGCGGCTCACCTTCCTGCCCACTCCGTCGTTGTCCCTGGTTGTAACTATCTGCTAGTACTACTCCCGTCTTCACCCGCTGTGACAGAACCAGCCCTATAGTACAGCCAGAACCCTCTTTCGGGGATCTGGATCACCCTCCCTATGTCTATTATCCCACCAGATGCTCTCTCCTAGACCCTTAATGTACACCCGGGCTACCATCCCACCCGATATTCTCTCCCAGACCCTTACTGTACACCCGGGTACGACCCGGGCCCTGTTCCCTTCCCCCTCCTGTTCGCTCCCAGCCTTCACTGTTACCGAGCCCTTACTCCTCCATTCTAGAAGTCTATCCCTGCATGTCCGTCTCCGCTCTATTTCACCTTCCCATCTCCCAACTCAGGNCGACCGCTCGCATGGTTGTCGCGCATTCAAGAACTGAATAAGCGAGGCCAATCGCTATGCGTCCATGCACTCGTGAACATCATTGGAGCACCGACACAGACTTCGAGCTCAAACGCGCACATTCCCCGACGCATTTCGCCTGGTTGCGCACCAGGACTCATCAAGGGGCTACCGCACTCCCGCATCCACCAAACATTCCGCCCTGAGCTAAGAGGGTCGTTCTGGCCTTGCCCTCTTGGGTTATACTAACGCCGACCTGCTCCTACGTCTAGGAGCTGCAACTGACTGTGCGGGTGTCACGTAGCCTCGCCCGTAACTTGGCTGGCACACACGTCCGCAGACAGTTACCCGTCGACCTCACGTGTGCGCCTTCTTCCGCGCCAGCTAATCAATCTTCACACGTGCACCGGTCGACGGCCGCGGTCTCTGAGACGGGATGTACCAGGTCAGTTCCCCGTGCTAGGTACCCGCCCGACTTGACAACCCCTCCAGCCTCCCGGTTCCGATTCTACAGGCCCCGGGGACCTTGGTCTCTTCCTAACGTCTCCACATCATCCTCAATCCCTCCTGGTGATGTATGGCCTCTCCTGCCTCGCTTCTCTTCTCTGCGGCTCACCTTCCCGCCCACTCCGTCGTTGTCCCTGGTTGTAACTTCCTGCTAGTACTACTCCCGTCTTCACTCGCTGTGACAAAACCAGCCCTATAGTACAGCAAAAACCCTCTTTCGGGGATCTAGATCACCCTCCCTACGTCTATTATCCCACCGGATGCTCTCTCCCAGACCCTTAATGTACACCCGGGCTACCATCCCACCTGATATTCTCTCCCAAACCCTTACTGTACACCCGGGTACGACCCGGACCCTGTTCCCTTCCCCCTCCTGTTCGCTCCCAGGCTTCACTGTTACCGAGCCCTTACTCCTCCATTCTAGAAGTCTATCCCTGCATGTCCGTCTCCGCTCTATTTCACCTTCCCATCTCCCAACTCAGGTGACCACCCCCTTTTTCTGTTAAAATTACAACCGACTGTTCGGCCAGCGTCCTCAGTGCTGCTCCGAACGGGCCGATGGCTCTGACAAACACCGCCAGAGCTTCGGAAAAGAGCGCCGGGGGGTACCCCCGGCGCCCTAGTTCCACACTGATGGACAGAGCCACTGGGACTCCTGTCGCTAGGTCGCTCGCATGTTGCTTTATCCTGTGGAGCGCAGCAATCACCATGCCTGCCTTCGACCGCCTATCCGAGTACGAATCATAGTCCTGGAAACATCTGAAGGTTAAGAGAGCCTTCCAGCATGGCCCCCTCGTTCTTATGTCTGGGTCGGACGCTGAACTTGATTGGTCCAGGTAACATCATCGCCCTAGTCCCCAAAAAGTCCCAGGAGTTGGAACCATCATCGATCCTCACCAGCACCAGGCTCTCTCTGTATGTCTTAGCAAAGCTTCGACAGATGTCCCTTGCCTTCACAATACTCCGATGCTCACTCATGTCACATGCTACCACTAACGTTACATTGTCAACAAGTCTGACCCCGTGTACCAGCCTCTGATCTGCCCCCAGTGCATTGATAAAGTCCACCTCATACTTTGCGCACAATATACAGGCTAGTGAGGGGCTAGAGTTCTTCCCCATAGGAATACCCACTACCTGTTTGAGAATCTTCGTCATACATACGATGTACGTATTCTCCAGCTCATAACTAACCATCCGCCGGATCTGTGAAAACTTAACCGTGACATAGCCCGGTCCCGGGCTTTTCCGGTTGAGGATCACTACACGGCCCCGTCTACTGAAACTCATCTTGAACACCCCTCTCGCTTCCCACTGTTGCAGCACCCAATCGGTAGCTCAGGCAATCTCCTGATGCAGGAGTGACGTAAACATCTCTTTGATGTCAAAGCTGTTTACTAGTGCCATTGAATCTTCACCGAAAATACTCAATTTCTTCCCCGCCTTCTCCAGATTCTGCTACAACAGCGCTGTAGCCTTCAGGTTGAAGTGTCTAGCTTTTGGAACTCTCTTAAGTAAGAAGTTCAGGGCCCGCGCTAGCCTCCTCCCCGCTGTCTTGGATCCTTCTGCATTAGTTGGTGCTATAGGCCTCCACCTAAGCAAGTCCTTATGCTTCGGCAGGACATACGCTCGCCCAAGCTTCGCCTTTGGATTCCAGGCCCCTAACTTCTCGAGGTTCCGACCTTTGAGCTCCGTCCTTACCCGAGCGAGTGCTTCTTTCTCGAACACCCCCGGGACTTGCTGGTAGGCAACATTGAGGTTGAACATCAGCTGGAGTCCGTGGTGATATGTAGAAGGACACATGATTACTAAGTCACCTTGGTTCCTGTCCACCGGAACCACCACTAGGTGGCTCAGTTTTGTTGCTAATTCCCACGCTTGTTTCTCCGAACACGCTGGTCTTTCCTCTGCACGTTCTGACACAATCTCCCGGAACTGCATCCGGTCCGCGAGCCGATACAGGTCCCTCCTCATGACAACTTCCAAGGATCGCTTTACGGCTTTCTGCACATCCATTGGTCTTGTGTTGCTCTCACTCTGTAGGACATTCTTCCCGTTGTGCAAGAACGGGGTCGCTGCCGAATAATCTGCAATACGGGCTAACACATGCCCTTCCATTCTTGGCAATAGGTCCTGGCTACATGTGCACAGCGCCGTAGCTTCGCTCGCTACCTTCCGATGATTGGCCAGGATCTGCTCAGCAGTAGTATTCTTTTTCCACACAACTCTCACCCTGCATCGCAGCATCGTTTGCAGCACCGGATGGATTATGCTTTTCTCTACACATAACACCACCGTATCATGAATCTTCCTCTTCCTTAGCCGGTGGCTATACTTCAACCCCACGTTAATCTTCAGCCTGATGTTCACTCCTGTCTTCTTCCTGATCACTGCGGCTATCATTTCCTTCAGGATTCTCCTTGAGGTCTTTGTCTTGAACTCCCTAGCACAACGGTACAGGAAGACCAGTTTCGAGACATCAAAGTATTTGAGCTCAGCTCGTTTCCTTGGCAGCTCCAGCAGCAGCCTAAGGTAACCCTTGCCCCTGCACCGTGCGTTCTCAGTCAACACGATTGGTGCCACCCTAAACATCCCTCCTTCCTCTAGTAGCAGCTTAGACCTCCCTAGGGGGAGTTTTGCTCCTTCGCCTGCGACCGTTGACGTCCCGAATTTCCTTCGGACAATGGACCACTTCTCTCCCCACACCTTGTCCCCGGATGTCTCAAACTCCACAGTTGTCTTCCCTGCCGCATATGCATCCTCTAGGAGCTCAGCTAGGCTGTAGTGCCGCTTCCCTTGCCCTGTTAGTGAGAAGGACAGCAGTCCACTTCTACTGTTTGGTATAGGAACTCTCCCCTTTTGCCTCTCTCTCTTACCGGGTCTCGCTTTCTGCTTCATCCCTTTGTTACGACCAACCACATTGAGTGACGGGGAAAACCTGTGTATCAGCGTCTTCTCCAGTCCCTACAGACCATTTCTAATACCCGCTGCTAGCGGTAGGACTAGGTACTTCTGCCATCCGAACGCCTTCAAAAATGTGTACAGCTTGGGGGCGTGCCCGTTGTTGCGTGATTCCGTACACCGGATATGCTCCCACCATCTTTCACCTGCACCGCGAACTGTCTGTCCGATGTACAGCCTCTTGGACCACGGAGACACTAGACAGTACACCGCCGGCCCGCGAAGATCAAATAAGTCATGCCCCGTCGGGGTTACAGTGAGCAACTTCTTAGCCCACGGGGCCACCCCAATCATCACCAGCATGAGGAAGACCGCAATAAGTACTTGCTCAATGTTGATCCTAAAGTTCGTTAACCCATACGTCCCCCAGACGTAATCTCGGAGCTCCATATAATTCAGGAGCTTGCTCCACAAATACCGCACTGGGGGGGCGCGCCGTCAATTAGCGTGTGGTGCCGTATCCACTCCCGACCTCCCGTCTTCTTTCTTGCTTTCATCACTTTCTGCCCCCGTAAGCCACCCGTCGTATGCAAGTCTCGTTTCTGCCGCCACCAGGTCCTTGATCGCCTGCGCCTTCGATACCCACCTGATGTTACTCCTTTTGCACATTTGCTTGAGTTCCGGTGCCTGCTTTGCCTGCATACTCTCACGCAGTTCAAGAACAAATTCAATTACTCCCGCCCTGGAGCTCGATGCTACTGCACCTTTCTTCTTCTCTTCCACCACCATCGGTTCCTTGGCCTTCCTTGCCATCACTGTCCTCTTCTTCGTGACTGGTGTGGCGGCACCCCTCCCCTCAGTGTCTGCTTCCCGTTCGTAGTCATCCAGTTCAAGTCTTCCCCTCGTACCTGGATAGGCATCAATTCTGGGTCTCTTCAGCCCCTCACTGTCTACTCGTTCTAAGAATCTTTGTAGATTGTCATGCAATTTCGCTCTCTTCTCTTCAGACGCTGTGAGTGTTGACTGCACATGACCTTTGATCTTTTCTTCCAAAGTTGCCATCAGCTTGGCAAAAGCCTGCGCTGCCGTAGCTTCCATGATTGCTTGCGCTCGTCGTTTCTCTGCTTCCGCTCTCAGCTTTGCTTCTTCTAACCTCTGCTTCTCCTCTTCCTGCCTCTTCTTCTCCTGTTCAGCCTTCTTCTTCTCTGCGGCTTCCAGTTCCTGGTTCTCTAGAAAGGCTAGTAGCCTGCTCATCCGGTCATCCTCTTCACTTCTCCTAGGTTGCCCGTAAGCACTCTGTCCGTAGTTGCCTTGCCCATAGCTCCCCCTTCCCTGGCCTTGCCAGTTCCTCCCGTTCTGCTTATACGGGCAATCTTGCGCAAAGTGCCCGTATTCCCCACAGCTATAACATGGCCCTATTACCGCAGTCGGAGGGGGAGGAGGAAGAGGGGATGGAGGAGGAGGAGGAGGAGGAGCAGCAGGGGCTGGCGTATGGACAGAACCCACATTGTTAGCAGGGTACGTCCCCGCTGTCCCTTGTGGAGGATACATACTTCCCCACCTACTCGTTCCTACAGTCGTACTTCTTGCTACCAAGGCACCTGTCGGGTGCGATCACCTGCCATTACCGTTATCACCGACAACCTCCCACCTACAACCACCTTACTCAGTCGACCAGCACTTGTTACTGGCCGTCGTTCTTTGTTCTCCTTTCTACCACCTCATCTGCCTGCACTCTACTAAAGCTGACAGCAACCACCTGCCAGTCTCGTGACCGTCTTCCTTTGTTCTCCTTCCTATAAACTCCTTTCTCTGCACTCATGCATGCTATACTAAAGCAGACAACACCAGCCTGTCAGTCTCGTGTTCACCTCGTGTCGCCTTGTTCAACACTCCCACGTTTGGGCCAAACATCAGGTTAATATCCGTCAAACTGTCCCCTTTCCCACACTAACCTAGCTCAACTTTTGGTCGTTACTCGGCACTTCTCATCAAGGCTGAACGCTCCCCACCACTCACACTTCACTAGTATAACAGATTCCCAGCAGCTCTTTGTAACCCGTCATGCATCTCCACTCTCCCGCCTAGCGACACTTGCACAGCATGCTTCGCAGTAGCTCATAGTTCCGATCGCAAAGTTYTGAAGCACCYGTCACCCAACTACTCTCGTCTCACCTTACGTCACGCACTCAACCACCTAACTCWGCGCGCTCTTCCACCCGTTRGTAAGASGGTCTCATCTCGCMTTGGTCCCTACTCCCCTCACAATCACTTTCATCTGCTGCAAGTGCCCCGTTTCTGTTTAATCCCAAGCAGCTTATTACGACACAGCCCGCTTGAATCAGTTTACGGACTCCGGCAACTCAACCTCCTCGCCGCTCGACTTACCTCGTAACTCTTGCTCATAGCACTTTAACCAACTAGCCAAGGAGGTCTGTTAACCTCAACCGTGGATCCTACCCAGAAAACAGCGGCATGGCCGTTCGTCCTTCACCCGTTGCCCGCTACGCTCGACCCCCTACCTTTACTCCTTCGCCACACTCTCTTCCTGTGTCCTCTGCTCTCACTCCCACTCCAATACCTCACACGTTGCTCCGCTACTACGTTGTTCTACCACGTAATATACCTTCGCACAATGCCCACCACTCTTTTCCCAATCTCCACGCCTCCAAAACGCTCACTTCTCGCCTTCTCTCATCATAGTGCTTTCCCGAAACAGAGCGACAACAGTTACTCACTCAATCCAATACTTCTGCGACGAGCACTAGAACCTCATACAACACTCAGTTGTCGCTCCAATCATCGGTACATCGTTCCTTCACCCGTTTTCCGCCACTTTCACCTCCGCTTCAACCCATGCTTCCTTCGCACACCGCCCGCCACCCTCACTGACTGGCTCCACACCTCTGGTCCACTTACTTCTCGCCTCCTCCGCTCTCCCTCCAACTCCTTCCTCACTCGTAGCTACTGATCCTCTTTTACCTCTCAAAAAACTTCTACCCTTCTCCCCGTGTTAACTCCTCACGTAGCCTGACCTTCGCACTCAGCTCCCGACCACCAGTTCCCTCAACCACTTGTAACTCTCGCCTCATGCACGTTACCCCCACTCGTAGCTACTGATCCTCTTTTACATCTCTGAAAACTTCTTCCCTTCTCCCCGTGTTAACTCCACATGTAGACTGACCTTCGCACTCAGCTCCCGACCTCCAGTTCCCTCAACCACTTGTAACTCTCGCCTCACGCACGACACCCCTCTATCGTTGCGCCCTTTACACACAAACAACCAATCAACCCGTTGCGCTCCACCAGTTCCCTCAACCACTTGTAACTCTCGCCTCACACACGTTACCCCTCTATCGTTGCGCCCTTTACACACAAACAATTAACCAACCCGTTGCGCTCGAAAACCATCCTTCACATTCTTCTAATATCAAGTCGTCATCCGACATCTTCTCTCTACACTTACCTCCTCCCCTTAGCTCATCAGTCTCTACCGCCTACCTCTCTCCCCCGCTCGTAGCTCCTGCGCTTGTTGTTCCGCTTACGCCCATCACTGGCGTCCGGACAGCTCGCTTCACTCCCGACACTCTACCTCAAACAATTCCGTTGTAGGTGTAACCACCAAAGCGAGTACGACCGCTCGCATGGTTGTCGCGCATTCAAGAACTGAATAAGCGAGGCCAATCGCTATGCGTCCATGCACTCGTGAACATCATTGGAGCACCGACACAGACTTCGAGCTCAAACGCGCACATTCCCCGACGCATTTCGCCTGGTTGCGCACCAGGACTCATCAAGGGGCTACCGCACTCCCGCATCCACCAAACATTCCGCCCTGAGCTAAGAGGGTCGTTCTGGCCTTGCCCTCTTGGGTTATACTAACGCCGACCTGCTCCTACGTCTAGGAGCTGCAACTGACTGTGCGGGTGTCACGTAGCCTCGCCCGTAACTTGGCTGGCACACACGTCCGCAGACAGTTACCCGTCGACCTCACGTGTGCGCCTTCTTCCGCGCCAGCTAATCAATCTTCACACGTGCACCGGTCGACGGCCGCGGTCTCTGAGACGGGATGTACCAGGTCAGTTCCCCGTGCTAGGTACCCGCCCGACTTGACAACCCCTCCAGCCTCCCGGTTCCGATTCTACAGGCCCCGGGGACCTTGGTCTCTTCCTAACGTCTCCACATCATCCTCAATCCCTCCTGGTGATGTATGGCCTCTCCTGCCTCGCTTCTCTTCTCTGCGGCTCACCTTCCCGCCCACTCCGTCGTTGTCCCTGGTTGTAACTTCCTGCTAGTACTACTCCCGTCTTCACTCGCTGTGACAAAACCAGCCCTATAGTACAGCAAAAACCCTCTTTCGGGGATCTAGATCACCCTCCCTACGTCTATTATCCCACCGGATGCTCTCTCCCAGACCCTTAATGTACACCCGGGCTACCATCCCACCTGATATTCTCTCCCAAACCCTTACTGTACACCCGGGTACGACCCGGACCCTGTTCCCTTCCCCCTCCTGTTCGCTCCCAGGCTTCACTGTTACCGAGCCCTTACTCCTCCATTCTAGAAGTCTATCCCTGCATGTCCGTCTCCGCTCTATTTCACCTTCCCATCTCCCAACTCAGGTGACCACCCCCTTTTTCTTTTAAAATTACAACCGGTTGTTCGGCCAGCGTCCTGAGCACTGCTCTGAACAGGCCGATGGCTCTGGCAAAAAGCGAAAACTGTCGTCGTCGACTGCTTCTGGCACAAAGGTCGACTACGTCTTTCAATACTCCTTCGCATGCACACTTCAGAGTCGCGAACGCGCAAGCCCCCCATCACGACCAATATGAGAACAGAGGGCCGACGACCGAGAAGAAGAAGAAGAAGAAGTAGAAGAGGGGAAGAAGAAGAAGAAGAAGATGATGAAAAAAACACAAAAACTTGCCCGCGTAAAGGACGAAGAAGCGACGTAAAGGAAGTGACACGTGTATTGTACGAAGTAAAGAAAAAGAGAACGGAAAATATATGCAAACAAAATCAAACAAAAAATAAAACCGATTCAACACTAAACTCGGTCCGCAGCACACGATCACGCACGCACACGATCACGCACGCACACGCACACGACCACACTCTCACTTACACAAACCTCTGCCCACGCGGAGGAACACAAAAGGTCGACACAACTCCAAACGCGCGAGTGCATGTGCACAGCAGAATCGGCCGAAGGACGAGGCAGCACGGCGACGGACACACAACAATACTCACGCGCGCAAGCAGGAGGTATATATCTCGACGGCGCTTGGCAGACGAGGTGCATGCAGGAGGTGCAGGGGATGGGGAAACTTAGAAGAGGTGGCTATGTCAGCATGCGACAGTGACACTCAGCACCACAAACGAACCCTAAACCAACACGCACCACCGTGCACCAAGGCGGTAACGCATCCCGCAGCAATGCTATCTGCCCGCCGCATTCCAACGATGGCCACGGCACCGCCGGGTTCGCTGCACAAGGCCGGCGCTCGAGAACTGGGTATGACGGTGGAGGGAAAGAAGAGAGGAAGCGTGTTGAGGTTTCGTTCAGGGTTCGTGGCGATGGTGGACTGTCGTGCACGATTCCAAACGGAGGTCGTTTCAGGCAAGCCGAACGGAAACCCTACACAATGGAATGAAAAACACGGCGTTTGGAACGTGTTTTTACATTCACATATATCTACCGCTCAGGCACAACGGTAATGACGGGGGGGGAAAAAAAAATCGCGCGGCCGCCATTTTTTTTAATTTTTTTTTCTTCTTCCGCCTTCGACCCTTATTTCCCGCCAACGCTACGATGTCCGATAGAGGCTAGGCCGCGCCCCGAACACTGGACCGGATTCACGTCGCGACAACTGACGATGGAATCCGGCCTCGTCAGCCGTCTGCAGCGTGGGGCCTTGGTCTACTTGCCTGGGAGTGTGGTAAGTTGGTGAGTTACGGGCGGCTACCTGCCCAAAAGCACGCCCCTAACTGGTCGGTACCACAGGTTTCATGTGGCAGGGGGGGCCGGTGATTTAAAGAGGAATTCCGCGAAGGTGGGCAAGTCTTAGGGGTTCCTTTCTTCGAGGACGAGGAGGACCGCCTCTTTATAGTTTCCACGGACGTGGGGCCTTGTTCCGTAAGAGGGCATCTGTCGCCAAAGGTTCAAAACGGGAAAGAGAGACCCCTTCGATTTGAGAGTTGGGCCTTGAATCCCGCCGAGAGAAACTATAGGCAGTTCAAGAAAGAAGTGTTGGGGGTATTGCACTGCCTAAAGGCCTTCCGCCACTATATCTACAGGAGGCGGTTCCTCCTGAAAGTGGACCCGACCACGGTAGCGGCCGTCCTTCAAAAGG